ATATATATATATATATATATATATATACATACATACAATATATATTTATTTTATTTTTTGTTTCAATGCAAACTTGAGAAGATTAAAAAATTATGATTTAAATGTCAAATAATTAAATAATTTATATTGATTATTTAAAGTACAACAACATAAAAACGTTTAAACATTTATTTTTTCACTTATTTTTTTGCTCATAATAAAACAAAATTAACATTTATATAAAGAAATTTAATTTAGAAAATTACAAGAAAAAAATACAGTAATGTGAATTTAATGTTTAATTCCCATTAAATAATGTGTCTGTGTGTGTATATATACAGTGTATATATATATATGTATATGTATATGTATATGACCTTGCTATTTGACCTTATAAATGTAAAGGTGATATACTTTCCCACACCCTTTTTCCACCTTTGCTTCTATATATAATTAAAAAAAAAACTTTCTATTTATTCTATTCTATCTACTTGTTTTTCTTTGTGTGTGTATGTGTCTAATATATATATATATATATATATTATAAATACCTTGCTATGTGTACTGTGTTAGGCTAACCGAGACTTGTCATTTGCACTTATATATTGTTGCTCTTTTGTTAGTTTTGACTGCTTCTATTGTCCTCATTTGTAAGTCGCTTTGGATAAAAGTGTCTGCTAAATGACTAAATTAAATTAACCCTAGTTAAATTAAATTAAGTACGTACGTGTGTGTGTGTGTGTGTCTGTGTGTGTGTGTGTGTGTGTATTTATATATAATGACCTCCTCTGACTGTATAGATGCTAAAATAAATGAATCTGTTATACAATTTTTATGACCTATATATAATGACCTTGCTAAAGATGATATACTTTCCCACTCTTTTTTCCACCTTTGCTTTCTTATATTCTTACAAGCACATGTTTTTTTTCTTCTTTTTTCTACCTGTGAGATCTGGACGTATTATTTTGTGATATTCACCCCAGCATGGAGACATTTAGTAGTTTTAAGGACCAAACAGTTTTGTTTTGCCTGCTTATCATATTCCTTGTCTTGTTGTATCAGGTCAGAGGTCATCTGCAGAGATGTATGTGCTTTCTAGCGCCTCACCTTACTCTGTCGCCTTAGTTTCGCTTGTGTAGGTGGAGTCCCGGTACAAAGTGTTGAAAGGCATATATCACAAACGCAAGCGCTTGCGGTGTGGGCACGGACATGTAGGGGCCTGAACTCTTGTCTGAGAGGGCCGCTCCTTTGGTTTGATTGCTATCAGAATACCACAGATTATGCAACAACACACACACACCCCTAGTATGTGATGCCCATTGTCTTCGTGAAACTCTTTTGTGGTTGTGGTACTGGAGGGGGTGCACTACATTGATCCATATTCAGTCATTCATTCATTTAGTTTTAAAAATGAAAATGTATTCACCCTCATATATTTCCAAACCATCACTTTCTTTCTTCTGTAGAACACAAAAGAAGATATTTTGTAAATTGAGCTAGTTGCTGTTTTCCATTTCCAGTTGCAATGAATGAAGACTAAAGGCCCATTCACACCAAAGACGATAAACTATAACAATATAGTTTTAAAAATCATTCTGAATGTAAAAGAATAGCAGAGTCCACACCACAACTATTCTGATAATGGTACAGAGGAACGATAGTCATTCCTTGGAATCACTTTCACAGCATTTGTTTTATTTTTTTTATGAAATGATGCACAATAAAAACATTGAGAGCCAATCAGAATCAATCCTGCTTTAAAGAGCTCAAGCATTTAAAGTGGGAGATGACAAAACTGCAGTGCACTTAACAAAAACAGAAATTACTCATGCTTTGGCGTGGACACTGATATAGTTATCTTTATATTAATAGTCCTTGGTGTGAACAGGACTAAAAGCTTTCAAGCTTCAAAAAAGTACCATAAAGACGCTATAAAATAGTCCATAATTCTATTTTCTACCATGTACATAGTTTTCTAAGTTTTCCAAAGCCATACATTTGTAAAAATGTTTTACAAGAAAATACAATTTATGTTTATCTAATTCAATTTCATGTTTAAGTCAATAGCCACTTTTCCACTGTCGGGCCAGTGCTTTAAACGGGCGGGACGGGGCTAATAGCCTCGGACTTGTAGCACCGAGCCCAAAATCACGCTGCGTTTCCACCGTCGGGCCAGATGCTCCGCTGCGCTTCACTAAAACCCACCCTTTACACACCTCTCTGGAACAACGTCATGCGAACCCATCATTTCACCAACAAAGAGAAGTTATCAGAAAACTAATAAGAAATAAGTCACTGGAACTAGCGCGATCACAAAACGAACATGATAAAAGCGGCCGTTTGATTGCATGCTTTGTTAAAGATTTAAATCCAAAAGCATCGAAGTTTTACAATAATAAGTGATACATTGATCATAATGAATTAATTTTTCAGGATTGAAAATTAGTCACACAGAAATAAAGCGGTATGAACATAGCCTTCCTACTTATTCAGTCGAGTCCGTTTCTGTTTATTTGTACACTCTTAAAAATAAAGGTGCTTCACGATGCCATAGAAGAACCTTTTTGTCTAAATGGTTCCATAAAGAACCTTCAACATCTGAAGAACCTTTCTGTTTCACAAAAGGTTCTTTGTGGCGAAATAAGGTTCTTCAGATTATAAAAAGGTAAGAAAGAGATGGTTCTTTAAAGAACCTTTGACTGAATGGTTCTTTGTGGAACCAAAAATGGTTCTTCTATGGCATCGCTGTGAAGAACCATTTGAAGCACCGTTATTTTTAAGAGTGTAGGCACAGTTATATACATCACATTTAGAAAGAATGATCATTTCTATATTTTTATAAAAGCTCCCGAACAAAAACCATTAGGCTATTATATTTTTGACATACGCGGAGCTAAACTCTGGAGACAAGACTTATGACAGATAAAATATTTTACTAAGTAAATACACGATTGTGATAGAGAATAAAAAGCTGACGTCTGATTTCTTCAAGTGGTTGTATTTACCATATTTAACGTTAATGGCTAGCGTGCATAGCCTTTTGCATCACTTATAAATATTTCTGCCTCGTAAGGTGATCATAATCCACATTGGATCAAGTTATTTCAAACACTCGCTGCTGTCTGAAAGAGAATTTTGAACTAAAATTATTTTAAAAGTCTTTAATGCTGGTGTTATAGCTGTTAACTTTATGAATTGATCCGCGGTGCCGACGCTTTCCAGACGCGGAGAAACTCCACCTTTCTGGCCCGCTTTGGCCCAAGGTTTTCGTAGGGCCAAAAAACCCGGGCTGTTGGCCCCGAGAAAGCACCGACGAAGCACCATCAAGCCCCGGAAGTGACAGTGGAATCGCGACTGGCCCCGGCACGCACTAGCACGCCCGCTTTTGGCCCGACAGTGGAAACGCGGCTATTGAGTTACTTTTTTTGAGTTACTGTAGCAATTTTTGAGTGAAAATAGTTTCTACCCCATTTTTTTTCAGTGTATTGTGACTTAATGAGTTCTTAACCACTGCGATCACATAAATGAGTTCAGGTAAAGAACTGGATCAGTCTGATTCACAAAGATGTCATACAGACCGTTTTTGCAAACCAAACCACTAATTTTACGTTGTCTTCATAAGCTTTTTGAAGAGCCAAAGTTTTAGTTACATGGACATTAAATGGAGGAATTTAAATCTCTCAGGTTTCATTAAAAATATATTCCGTATAAGTTTAATTTGTGTTTTCAAAATGAACATCAAGGTGAGTAAATGACAGAATTAAAATGTGGAGGTGAACTATCCCTTTAATGGCTAAAATGTCCAAGAATATTCTTTACTAGTAAAATCTATGTCTCGAGCGGCTCATTGGTTTATTAACATCGTCGCCATGCATTTTGGTGTAGAAATTCACACTTTGTGCCAAAAAGACTTGCATGTAGTCATAGCCCCACAATGCATTGTCTGTTCTCCTTCTTCTGCCCCCCGTATTCCTCAGTCAGAATGTGGGGGGTTTGGTGCTAATGTGTTGGCTTGTAACCTGCGCTAACTCTAAATGCCATTCACATGTTCGGAGGAGGCGTGCTGCTAGCATGTTCACATGACAGCCGTCTGGAGCAGCTGGGCCAATGCTACTCCATTAGCACCTCCTGTAATGGACCCTTTATCTCATCTTGTTGGGAGTCTCTCTTTCCATTTCTTGCCAGTTACCCATGATTCCACACCTCCTCCTCATTCTTTTCATCTCTTCAATTGTTTCTTTTTTTTCTTCATTCTTTCTGCGTCCTGATATAAAAGTGATATACTTTTCCACAATCTTTTCTTTCCACCTTTGCTTTCTTTAATTCTTTTATATCATACAGCCAAAAAAATTTTTTTTAATTAAATTACCAATTTCACCAGTTTCCCCAATTCTCCATTTCCTTAATTGCTGTAATAAGTGCAGTGTGAGGTACCTCAAGGGAGTCCCTCAGTTCCCTAATTTTCCACCTAATTGATTATAATGAACAGCTCCCCCATCAGCGGTGCAAACACACGCTCGTGTGAGCATGAGTCAGATGCAGTAGTGCGGTAATTGCAGTTGTTAACACCCCCAGTGGGTGTGAATGGATCAACACTGTGAAAGACCCTGTGAATGATCTCTTCTGCCTCTCAGGAAATGTTACTGTTGTACAGAAACATGAATGGATACTCGCAGATGAGCGTAATAAAATAGTTCCGGTTGTTTATCTCTGATTTAAATATGATATGAGCATCTTATGCATTAATAATATGAACCGATGAAACTGTCAAGAGTAAAAATGGTTCATGTTCTCTACTAAGCGGCATCGGCTTACATTGAAGAAGGGATGTGAGCATATCTTAGAACCACAATATCATGGAGACTTGTTGAAGATGGGCTTTTTTACACCTTAGCAACTATATATTAAATATTTGTACACTTTTGAACGGGATTTATATAATTCCAAAGGTTGAAGTATGTTTTTGAATGTTTCTTATTCTCTTTTTTGAAATCAAATATGTGAAACTCTGTACTGTCACTTTTGAGAAACTGAATGTGTTGCAAAATTTCTTTAAAAATGGGAGGACAATTTAGAAAAAAGACATGTTCATGTTGAAAATATGGTAATATTGCACTGTTAATTTAAATTTGTATTTGTTTTAGGTTGGAAGAACAGACAAAGAAGCTGCATAAAGACATGAAGAAAAGCACAGAGGCTGATTTAGGTTTGTGGTTGTGATGATTTCTCTTCTCTCTGCTAATATTGACTCTTATCTAAATATAACCGCTGTAACATCAGTGCTTTTACTGGTCATAGGAAAGAAAACCTTATATTGTTGTAAATTGGTAAAATCAAGCTATACGCTTCCATTGATACTAGAAGTGCATTGAACTGTCACATTTTTCACTTCTGGATTTTCTTCTCTGATATTAACAGAAATTCAGTGAACATTAATTGAATATTTTAATTGAATTAAAAGTGTGTTACAGAGCTGAAAGTACTACACTTTGAGCCACTGACATCATAATTAAAGCAATGTCCTGCATCCAGTAAAACAACATTTCTTTTGTACAATGCTGATTAACAGAAGATCATTTAAACTGCGGTTACTGTAACACTTTTCTATGTGGATGATGCAGTTTAAAATCTGAACCGATTTTAAAACACTAGTCATCATACACTAAATGATTGAGGATCACACACTTCCAGGCTTTTCAAGTCGTTCCAAACACAACAAACTCACGCAGAAACATGCACCTCTGATGAAAACACGTGACAAATGAAAACAATATGCGTTCTAAATTCAGTTCAAAGTATCAAAGATGTTTAATATCCTCTGACTGGATAGAAGCTAAAAAAACATTGATTCTGTTATACAATTTTCATGCAGACTTTACGACCTAATGTTTTGAGGGGTCATGAAATGGAGAATCAAAATGTTAATATTTACACACATGAGAGGTTACTATGCAATACAAACATACTTCCCACAGTGGATGTAAAGACTCTGCGCCTCCAAAAACATTTGCATCACCTTCCTGAAGATCCGAGCATTGGAAATGCATCACTGAAGTTTATTTTAATTGATGTGCCTGAGTGACTAAAATATACACTTTTCGTTTGTATAGGTCTGTTTTGTGAAGTATTTTAAACATGCTGTCGTTTTAAAAATATATATATTTTATTGAAATATATGCTAAGACAACAAGCGTTTCATTATTTGAGTGTTACTAATAACATCAGTACATCCCTGCATCCATGCAGCGTGTTTTATAATACGACAAGTAATAATAGTACTTTAAAAGATGATAATTTTTACAAGTATTGGAACTTTTTGATGCAAAACTATTTGCAAACTTTATAAACTAACCCTGAGAAACACATACAGATCTGAAACTGCATTTCATGACTTCTTTAAGTCCTGTGGCTATACTTTGGAAACAGTTTTGACGTTTCAGAATTAGTCAGACGTGAGTCAGAGTTATTTTCTGTGGTATTATGCCTCAAATGTCTGTACTGAGACGGGAACATTCCTTGGAATGTGCCAAAATATTTAATGTAAAGGTCAACCGGTGAATGCCGATTTCCACAGAATTCTAATAGAATGCAATGTTTTTTTGTGAAATTTCCATGGCTTAGCTATGACGAGGAAGATTATTTTGCTGAGTGTCATCAGATGCGCTGCACATGTAGCTGAACTGCACTTGCTGCGTCAGACCTCCACCACACGGAGGCACATCAGCTGTCAAACATGCATCTTGCATCTCAACAGACATAGATCAGAAGTTACCAAAAGGTCGAAAATATTTAGCCCTCTAAAATATCGAAATGCTTTCCGTGCTGTCGGCAAGTTAGAAATCGCTCAAATCCATAAGATGCGAGGCAAAACACCTGCGAAAGAACAAAGATTTGTAGAGCCGCTTCACAAGTTTGTTCTGTGCATGTTGGAAGGGGTCGTTAGAGAGTTGACGGAGATGATGAATATTCACTAAAGAGCTCTGATTGTGTGCTGCTGCCTCAATAGTGCCAACGCCAATTACAGTCCATCGCCTTCCCTGCCAGAGCTGCTTAAAGTCAGATTGATGATCAGATGAGCACGTCAGCGTCAATCCAGATCAGACGCACACCAGGCAGGAAGCCAGATAAAACATCCACCCCTCTACACCCCACAGCCCAAACACAGGAAAGACTTGATTTACTTGAGCTAATTGGGGCAAAGTCAAGAAAGAAGGGGAAAGTTTCTTAATTATGGTCCCACTTTGATGAATGTGGATGTCTTCCATTTAAATTTGAGAACTATTATTGTAATTATTGTTGTTTTTATTGTTGTTGTTTTTGACGCCATTATTATTTGTGTGTTTTCCATGTCCTATGTACAGTCACATGAATGCTGGAGCCTGTATTAACAATAATAATAATAATAAGAAGAAGAATATCCATCAATTTTCCAAACCGCTTGTTGGTGATGATAATAATAATAGTGTTATTTTTAGTATAATTTTTTTGTTATCTTCAGGAATGAAAAAGCCCAGAACAAATGAATGGACTTATAATAAATATAAATTAAAATAAATATATTTATTTATTTATTAATTTCATATAATGCAAAGTTTTAAGTTAATTAATTATTCCAGCATCTGCTTCCTGTATTTCATTCGCGGTTTAATGTTGAAATAAACAAGAGTCCTATTTTGCCATATGTTTGAAACCACTAAGGACTCTTAAGTACTTGCCACCTTTGCAGATGATGACTGCTGATGGTTTTAAAGCAATACACTTTCTGTTGTCCCAGACATGAAAACAAAATTAACTGTTCATTTTTCTGCACTCCTTTGTTTTTTGGCTGAAAGATAACTGGTTTTGTTTGTTTTCCAGCAATGTCTAAAGCAGCAGTGAAGATCTCAGGGGACTTGTTGAGCAATCCTTTGTGTGAGCAGGATCTGGCTTTCCTTGAATCCATGACTGCTTTGGATACAGCCATGAAGAGAATGGATGCGTTCAATCAGGAGAAGGTGCGATTCAGTTGTAAATGACAATGTTTACAAATGCATAAAAACACAGCTTCCTCTTATGACTATTACATTTAATTGAAATGGACATATGTTGAAGTAAAAGTAATTGTCCAAAAGCAATCCCATTTATCTCAATGGCGGTTGCTCGGCTGGCACATGACCCAGTGGAAGTATGCAATTTGAAATCTGCCAATGAAATCTTGATGGCTCAATTCTACTGCCAGGGTTTTGTTTTTTGTTTTTTGTTTTTTTTTCCTGAGCCGGAAATGCCAATTGTGGGTTTGGGCGTGTTTCCAGACTGTTTTCTTGGGCAGGCTGGTGCTGAATTGGCCCCCAATAATCCAATAATCACCGCTGTGAAATATCCTCAAATGCCATTCCAGCTTCGTTCTACATCAAATCTATTGAACTCAGCTCCTGGAGGGCCACTGTCCTGCGGAGTGTAGCACCAACCTTAATCAAACACCTGCATATAATTTCAAGTAATACCGAAGACATTTGCTGTGTTCAAAATCGCCCCCTATACCCTAATTCCGTTTCCTACATTAGTCCACTAAAATAGTCAACTTGAAGGAGTGAATGAAAACAAGATGACATTGAGTGCGCCGGAAATGTTGTCGCTTTTGCGTAGCTTGTGCTTGCTGTTCCAATAGTAACGAAAAGATCTTGGAACTGTCATGGAAACTGGCATGTATAAACCTTAATTTAACTATTAAATAATCAATGAAAAAAAATGTATACCTGTATGTAGGGCTGGGTATCGAGTCCGATACTTTTTAGGCACCGACCGAATTGCCTCGATACCATTGAGTATCGAAAAACGTCTCGTTGTTCGGTACCAAATTTCGATACCTAAGGGGTTAATCTCATCAACGTCAGTGAGCCAATTAGCCTGCAGCACTAGTGTTCGACTAGAAGAGGTGCGGCGCAGATCGATCAGTGTTTGACATCCGCGAGAGCGATTCGAAAGCATACGGAGCAGTCTGCTCTCTATAGCTCTCGTGGTACTGTAATACACCGATCGGTCTGCACAGTCGGTCCGCGTCACCGGTTACACTCAGAGATGTGGCTCACATGTGAGGCTGTAGTGTGAATGTATCCCAGCCTCCTTAGATGTAAGGCTACATTTACCCTGGTGCGTTTTTGTTTTAAAATGAAAACGATCCTCGTCAAACTGCCGTTTCCACTGCGTTTCAAGCCAGCTTTCCACTATCTCCGACAAACGACAGACCAGAAGTCATTCATTTCCAATGGAGAGTAGCGCGGGGGCTGCGTGGAGTTCCGATCATATGCAGATGTCCGTTCATACTACACGACCGAAAGCGTGTGTTATGTGACCATTCATGCACACTGTAGCATCATGCTACATAAGACAATAAATAAGATTTATATTCCGCTTTTACTCAAAACTCACTTTAAACCACCATCGAGTGTTTGTAATAACGTCTGATTGCCGTCTAATGTGTGTTTTGGCCATGTATTGTTGTTGAAATTAAATATGTTATTACCTCTGACTGAGTCAGTGAAGAGAGAGCACAGGCAGACAGCGCTGGAAACTGCTAATGCTCATCAGTAAATCAGTGGAAAATGAATAGAAATGATGATTCTGTCTGAGCTATGCATTTTAAAACGAACAGATAGCCTAACAGATGTGTAAACTGAAGACTATTTGAGCTTTATTAAAACTATTTGCACTGATTTATTGTGTTGGTTACATTTTGTTCCTTTGTGCAGTGGCTCAGGAGATGAGTCTTTGAGTTTGTATAAACAACAACAAGCTGAAAAATAAAACCAAATTTTTTTTTTTAGATAGTGTAATCTTGTTAAAATGTATTTAATAAAATTGGTATTGAAAAAAGTATCGTTCAGGAACCAGTATCAAAGTAAAGGTATTGGTATCGGCATCGATATCGAACATTTTTGAACAATACTCAGCCCTACCTGTATGACATCACACTCTACCCACATTGGACAAGTGGTTTGCAAAACGGATGGATGGATGAATGATTCAGCTGCAGGCGCCATCTTCTGTCGAGATGTGGGAATTCATTCGGCACAACCCTAACATTGCATTATGGGTATTCTCTAGCCATTGAGTGTACATCGATTGTGTACTCATTATTGCGGTGCATTATGGGATGGAATGAGTGCACTCAATAATGTCCTCTATGGTTTTGTACACCACTACAAATGGCTATCCCCTCAAGTAGTGCCCTATTTTAGGGTATAGGGAGCAATTTCGGACATAGCCCTTGATTAGCTGTTCAGGTGTGTTTGATTAAACAAACCAACTCTGCAGAGTTTAATCAGTCTAGACCGCTTGGTACTTTTTTGTTTATTTTGTTTTGGCCAATATATGTTGTCTTAGACTTATACTGACACCTAGTGCTGTGGATGCAGCATCACACAGGCATTTTCAGTTATTGATAACTTACAAAATTTGCAGTAAGTCATGATTTGTTTTTGTTTTTTTCTATGAGAGAAAGTGTCAAATAGTGAGTAATATATTTAGCTGATATTAAAATGTCTGCTCCCATGAGGCGACCCACTCCATTTAAAATATGATATGAGTGAAATCTCATGCAAGTGAACATTTTCCTTAATTACTGCTTATTTTTTTCTTTATGGCTAAAACTTTTTAATGAGGAAAAAGTTACTTTCTTCCATCGTTAAATAGCATATGCACCGCACCCACTTCGACCAGGAGTATTTGGGCTTTGTAAGCTGTCTCTTATTAGGCAGTGATACTCATTTGCATAAAAAGCAAGTGAATGTGAGACATGTTTATGTTTTGATTACATTGCCGCCACTAGATCTGGCTTACTCACCTTTAGGCCCACACAGAATCTGTATACGTTTTTTTCCCTTCCATATTTTCTGTGCTTATTGTGGGGGAAAATGAGTGGAATTCTGCAGAACGGATTTCAGTATGTTTAAGTGTGTGTGTGTGTGTGTGTGTGTGTGTGTGTACTGCACTTCAGACAAACCAACATTATGCATCAAAGTTATCCATCCATTAAACCCTTCAGTTATCCATCCAAATCATTACTGAATGCTCCACACCACCATCAGAGATCATTTTAACCTTTATGCAGCATCTTAACGTGTTGCTCATGGCGTGATATGTTTAAAAACAGCAATGCTAGACACAATGAGTCTTAAGGTGCGGTGACTGCGGTCACTATTGTTCGTGGATTTTTGAGGCCGAAATACAGTCATTTCTATTGGTTGGAATCCACACAGCTGGAAACTTCATGTAAGCGAGACAGATTTCCACACAGATTCCACAGCAAGTTGATCACTCAAATTGGCCACGTTGACCAACAGAGAGCTGCTTGGTTTGAAAGTGACTTTGGTGTGAAGTGTACTTCATACATCACTGCTGTGCTCACAGTAGACAAAGAGCCCTTTTTGCCTGTGAAATTTCACCAATGTGACCGCAACTTAAATGCATATATTTAAAAAGCCCGTGCAATCTTTTTATTCCCCAATGGCTGTTTATATTGGTCTTCCCAATAACCGCCCATATGACCATAAGAACTTTGCTAATGTTTATGTATAACTTAACTCTGTTTAGTACAAAATGAACCACAGACAAACTTGATTTCTGCCTTGCAACACCTTCTAACCCGTGTTTATTTTCTACTTTTGGCCGAGAAAAATAGTTGCGTTTCTGACTTTGGCAGAAGTACGTTCTGTCTTCCCTCCAGCAGATTGGGTATGAGTAAGTTTTCTCACAGCAGACCCCACGCCCTTCTACACTCAACGTGCACATGCATCTTCAAATGAGTCCCATCTCTGCGTTGCTATCTTCCTGCTGCTGGTGGTACCGATTGCTGTCTTTTCCCTTTTTTCCCCTCTTATTTCCCCACATTGGAGTCAGTCTTTTCTTTTGAAAGTGGTTAAGAACCCTTAAGCGATACACTCAGCACTGACTGCATGTCAGAAGAGTAACACTCATCTTCTCTGGTCTATCACCTACCTCTGCCCTGGAAACTGGGCCCTTCAACATTCCCAATGTATTGAACTCTATGGGGCGAAGTATCAAGCCACAGCACTACTCCCACCGTCAGGCATTGTAATATGATGCTTCAAACAGTTTCGACTTTGACATTTCCTGCTGACCATTCACAGCTCAGCTATTGTTTACCGGACAGTCTGCATAACATATTATGTGAACAGAGCTGGAACAAAAAAGGAAGAGAGACTGATCCCTTACATGTAGCTACATTGAGTTTTTCTGTAGAGCGCCGATGGCTTATCATGACTTTGAGAGAAAATAAGTTTGAAGACTGGAGTAATGGCTGCTGAAAATTCAGCTTAGACATCATAGGAGTAAATTACCTTTTATTTAGAATTCAGAAACCTTTCTTATTAGCGACACCGGTGGCCATTAAGTGAACTGCAGTCAGCAACTTATTTATAAAGTATAATTAAAACTTTTGTCTTTGCATGACACATTGACATTACAGTACAGAATAGCTCTTGCAGCATTAACCTGTGTCAGAATGGAAGAAAGGCTCTCAGGAGCATAAGTAATATCACATCCATCTGGTTTTCCCAGCAAAAGCATCCGAAGTCCTTCACATAAAAATTAGTCTACAGGCTTTCAACCTAGGAAGTTGTTGAAGGTCTCATTTTTTTAAAGTTTCGTTACAAGCTGTTTACATATTGGCAACAAAAAAGCAATAAATACATGAAAACTCCTACACATAGCCCCTATATATATATATATATATATATATATATATATATATATGAAATTATAGGAATATTTAACAATATTAATATTTTTGCTGTATTTTATTTATTTTTTTCAAATAAATGCACATAAAGAAAAAAACATTTAAAATCTTATTTGTTCCAGACTAAATTTTAAAAGTTAAGTTCACTTCACTTCACTTCACTTCAGTACCGGCAAAATGAGTCGCAATGAGAACATTTTCAAAAATGAATTATTTTTGTTTTCACAATCTCCATTAAAAAAACTTTCAAAATGATGTACAATTTGTTTGAATCGACCACAAAATGACTGAGCTACACCTGTTTGAAGTCGATGGAGTCAGCCAATTCAATTTAGAGAAAAAATCGAGTTTGAGTTTTCTGAAGGTTCCAAAGCAAAATCACCTGCAATGTTGCATCTTTTCAGTCACGTGGACTGATTTTAAGCTGTTTTGTTGCCGTTATTGTTTTTGAAGCTTAATATTTGCATAACCTTGTTTTGTATGTTATTTATGACTACATAATTGGATACCAAATGGATCCTTCTGTAGTCTTGATAGTTTAATTTACTCCATATTTTTGAATGCGGTTGCCCCCAGCTGATAATCAAAGCCATCAATAGCTTCTCAGTCAAACATGTCGTGAATATTCGCTCGTGCACAAACCTGCCAGTGCAAAATACACCGCGAGTGCCTTTAGCTGTAATGCAATCCGCAGATCTCAGAAATAGCAGATTGAAGCCTGATGCAAATATCCTTGCTCTCCGCTGACCCCTCTGTCAGATTCACCAAAGCCAAATGCTTTCTACAGCACTCTCCTCTTCGCCTGAGCACCGTTTTCTCATACTCTACTGTATGGGCACTTGGCAAGCGAACGGCGCTCTATCCGTGGGCGACGAGAGATGTTAGCACAGCTGATTTTTCAGCTCTGCATTTTGCAGTGTGCTGGTGTGAATTACCACCCTGGGATGCTTGAATGGTTAATAAGACTTTCATGAATCACATAGCAAACCTGCAACAAACTCCCCCTGGTCTTCCAATTGAGAGGTTTTGTCACGGTAGCCAAGCAAATCATATTTGTGTTATATGAAGATAACTAAACCGTCGTCTTCCCCTCTCCATGGAGGGAGAGATGGATTGCCCCCAGGGTGGATGCGAATAGGCAGGGTAATGTTATGGTAATAAGTGTAGCTTGATTCTAGGCCTGCGCTGGGTATTTTAAAATTGTGTTTTAGCATCTTTAAGGCCTGTAGAGCTTTTAATGGTTAATATCTAGCAGCCATGGTGGGGAGGAATATCGATTTTTCAGGGTTCATATGCATTGTATGTATTTTTGGGTGTTATAGATTATGTATATGTATGTGTGTGTGTGTGTGGTTGATCTCTGGCCTCTGATTCACTCACACACTCTCTCTGGAGTGTTTTCCTCGGGCTGTTCTGTCATCATATGGATATATTTCCCCATCATTTCCACTATCTACTCTATCTTTACAGTATCTCTTTTCTTTCTCCTCTTGCTTGCCTTAACTGTCCATTGCCTCTTTCAACTGAGAAGTTGAAATTTAAAGTTTAATCTGTGTTTGGTTATTGTTTTAATTGAATCCTGCTGCTTTTCAAATGCTTGAATAAAAATATTATATGCCTAAATGCCTGAATATGAAAATCCATTATAAAAAGAAAGAAGCAACTACTATGACGTAACATCAATATTTAAAGTGTTAAAGTTAATATAAATGTAAAAGGTGTGTGTGTGTGAGTGAGAAATTAGTGTATTTTCCACCTGTTGATGAAGAGTGTAGGCCTGTTCACACCAAGGACGATAACTATGAAGATAAAGATATAGTTCTAAAAATTGTGCTCAATATTAAAGAATAGCAGACTCCACACCACAGCTATAACGATAAAGGCACAGAGAAACGAGATCGTTGGTATCACTTTCAGAACGTTTTTTTCTAGCTGAGGAGTGATTAAAAACATTGACAGCCAATCAGAATCAGTCCTGCTGTAACGAGCTCGAGAATTTAAAGCGGAAGGCGAGCGTGTGCTTAGAATAAACGGACGATATCGTCCGCTGGTGTGGATGCTAATATAGTTATCTTTATAGTTCTTGTTCTTGGTGTGTATGGGCCTAGTGTTTGAGATGAAATATAAGTAATGTTTGCAGAAAATAAAAATCAAGGTAAATATCACTGTATATCTGTATAGGAAATGTATATCACTATTTATGTATTTATTTACGTATTTTTATTTATTTATTGTTAGGTTTAGAGTTCATTTACAAACTACAAATAACCCTTAAGTTTACAATAATTTGCCATGAGACTAGAAACACTTATTAAAAAAAATGAATTGGGTCAGTCTGTCTGTCTGTCTGTCATTTTGGAAAACCATCACTCAGCACCCTTACATTTGAGTTAGTTAGCTATTTTTGACTGTGGATTAAAGATGTAATTTGGAAGAAGGTTATCTCATCTTTAATGTATCGTTCTGTTCTGGGGTGGCGTTTGATTTGCTCTCAGTGACTGACTCTGCTCTCAATAGCGAGTGAGTTGTTGATTATCTCCATAAGCTACGATCCTCTGATGGGCCTGTCAGCTTGTGTCGGCCTCCCTCTCCGTGTTCTGGTTTAACGTTCCCTGTTTGCTCTCTTCTTGCATTGTTTGCCAGGTTAGGTTAGCATTCTGTCAGCCAACCACATCCTATTGACATCTCAGATCTGCAATGTAAATGTTGTTTTGCAAGTTTAAGGTTTTAATTGTGTGGCAACTTTTAAGACTTTGTTGGCTTGGGGCTCGAGGCGGCAGTGCGACGTTCGTTTACACCCGTTTAACTCAAACACCCCCCCTTCCCTCCTCTCCTTTTCCTCCTCCTCCTCTTCCTGTTTGCTCTCTTCTTGCATTGTTTGCCAGGTTAGGTTAGCATTCTGTCAGCCAACCACATCCTATTGACATCTCAGATCTGCAATGTAAATGTTGTTTTGCAAGTTTAAGGTTTTAATTGTGTGGCAACTTTTAAGACTTTGTTGGCTTGGGGCTCGAGGCGGCAGTGCGACGTTCGTTTACACCCATTTAACTCAAACACCCCCCTTCCCTCCTCTCCTCTTCCTCCTTCTCCTCTCCAGCCCTGACAGCACATGGAGGAACGAGGGGAATATAAACTGTTATTGTTAAAAATGTTTGTTTGCAAAGAACTTTCATCTCGTACGGCGGCCCACCCTCTTCAGCGTTTTCAACCCCAGCCGGGGCTGTGCTTTCATGTGCCGTCCCTCGACGATTCCAGCCTTTTGTATTCACTGCACAATTAATATTCACGTCTTTCTCGCTGCTTTCCTCAGGCCAGGAGCACAATAAAGAAACAACGTCACTAACTTTTTCTCCATACTTCTGTTTTGAACGCCAAACGCTTTTCGCACGGAAAGGGAGCGGCGACAGCTGTTGATCTTTTAAACGTGGGGGTCATGTCAGATCCTGCTGCCAATTAGTTTCACTGAGCAGTTGTTATTTATTTATTTTGATTGTTTTGTGGTGTTCGACCGTAATGATCAATGTCATTTATTTTGATGGTTGTCATTCAGCTGTGATATTAACTATTTATTTTTTCAGCTTATGTGTTTGTTTTTCTTTTCTGCTTATGCAGGTCAATCAGATTCAGAAGACCGTGATCGACCCTTTGAAAAAGTGAGTGCTCTCTTTGCTCTTTATTGAAACATTTTAAAGCAGGTTCTGTTTCAAAAACTAGCAAACTGGCTATTTAGACAAATTTAGGCTTTAGACTATTTAACAGACTAAAGGGATACTCCACCCAATATACATACCCACCCTTATGCCAAACAAGATGTATATGACTTTCTTTCAGATTTTTTGAAAAAGAATCCATCTCTGTGAGTCTGTATAATGCAAGTGAATGGAGGCCACAATGTTGAAGCTCCAAAAATCACATACAGCCATCATGATGGTAATCCATAAGACTTGAGTGAATTGAAGAATTTATATCTGCTGTTCAAAAGTTTGGAATCAGTAAGATTTTAAGATTTTTTTATTTTATTATTATTATAAGTCTCTTCTGCTAATCAAGGCTGCATTTACTGCAAGGCTGCAAAAAACATTAATATTGTGAAATATTATTTCAATTTAAAATAACCATTTTCTATGTTAATATAATTTGAAATATAATTTATTTTTGTGATGCAAAGCTGATTTTTCATCAGCCGTCACTTCAGTCTTTAGTGTCATTCTTCAGAAATCATTCTAATATGCTGATTTATTATCAGTGCTGGAAACTGTTGTGCTGCTTAATATATTTTTTCAGGATTCTTTGATGAATAAAAATAAATATTTCGCAATTTTACTGTCGTTTTGATTAAATAAATGCAGCCTTGGTGAGCATGAGAAACTTCTTTAAAAAGTTATTTTTATATTATATAAATTATATTATATTGTATATTTAAAAACATCCTTATGTATTATATTTAATATATATATATATATATATATATATATATATATATATATTATATATATATATATATATATTTAATAGATTAAATAATAGAAAAAATATTTGAACTTTGATCAAATTTACACTTTATATAGCAACTTTTTGATTCTGTCATTTTTTTACAGTATTTTTCACAAATTAAGAAATTCATAGCTTCAGGCTGCACCTAAAAACTATCGCATTTACAACCAAAAATAATAATTTGCGAGTGAAGTTTTTGCTGAGGTCGACACTGGCTATATAAATTTACGTTATGACTTAAAAATGTGCATATAATGCCTTTTTCCTGCTTGTTTTGCGATCTCATCTTTTGTTATGTTCACGTAATAAACCGAGACGAAGTTTTAGGGGAAAAAACACGATGTTGACGGCACACCTGCTAACGAAAAAGCAGCTCCAGTTGTGGCGGCATAAGAGATAGTATAGCATTAGAAAATGACGGAGGCGTGCAAAGTAAAAGTGCAGAAAAGCAGTGTCTATTTTGTGCACAACTTAAACTACAACAGGTAAAGCTGTGTGGATATTAACAATATCGTTAACAATTCTCGTTTATAATCAATACTAATATGGCTTCTTGTTATCAAGATATGCTGTGTTCTGTAAATGCGTGAACTTCATATTATTTGTAGCGCACTTGTCCAGTAATCGCAATAAGCTTTGTTCTCTGTTACCTTTTAATAAATAAAGCATCAGCTTTTAAAATTCTGCCAAATTCATAACGAAATTCAAACATACCGTTTTGACGCTCTTTAATGCGGCATGAGCGATCGCTTTAGCACCTTTAGTTCAAGCAGCAAATGAACCCATCAGATCTTTCTCTTTACTACTATAGTATGAAATAAACATGAACATACATCAAAAGGTATATTATAAGATACAGTGCATCTTACTGAAATGACTCGCTCATTCAGTGTTTCAAACTGCAGAAAATGTGTAAACAATACCACGTAACAAAACTTTTACCTCAGAAAAACCATTCGGCGTCCATAAGCCCATTAGTCAGCTATTTTGCTAAATATATGCACTATATTGCATATTCATATTTTTACTTAACCTGTTGTCAACATGATAAGAAAGAATGCAAGGAGCTAAAGATAAAATTCAACACCTCCTGTGTAATTGCATGTTACTAATGAAGAAAAACAGACTGGATGTGTGCAAGACATATGACAGCATTTATAGGATGCATTGAGGAGGAGCCCAAACTTCACTCAATGGTCAAGCGATGCTGACATAGTTATGGTCTGTGATATTGGCACAGATTATGTGTAATAAACGATTCTTTGTTACTGTATATAGTTCTGAAGTTGGAAAAGACGTCATATGATGCGATTTAAATTTTTCCTTTCTCTTTGGAGTGTTACAAGCTCTTGCTGCATAAAGAAGATCTGTAAAGTTGCAAAGACTAAAGTCTCAAATTCAAAGAGATATTCTTTATAAAAGTTAAGAGTCAGCCACGCCTACCTAAAACGGCTCGTTCTAACACGCCCCCACATGTCTACATCACGATGTGGGAAGATTTGCATAACACCGCCCAAATGTTCACGCAAAGAAAGAAGGTGTAACTTTTATTCTCACTGTAGTATTGTTGACGCTGCAGCCATGTCGTGAAGACGCTGTGTGCTTCGTTGTGAAAGCGAAACTACTTTGTTTGGTCTTCCAAAAGAGGACGATATCCACTTCGTCATGCCTAGAGCTGATCTGTGCTGGTCGCTGAGGGAATACATCAACTTTCACCGTGGACAAAGCGGAGTTCAGCCCGGGGTCGTCACATGTGGTTGCCGCTCGTTCGTCGCATCCGCCGGGCACGCCGTTCTCGACTCCGCCGCCTCAGCTCACTCTATCCCGGCCTCATCGCACGCTAAGCCGGGGCTTCGGCTCACGCTAGGCCGGCCTCAGCGCACGCTAAGCCGGGACTTCGGCTCACTCTATCCCGGCCTCAGCACACGCTAAGCCGGGGCTTCCCCTCACGCTAGGCCGCTGTGTTTTTCGTTGTGAAAGTGAAACTACTTTGTTTGGTTTTCCAAAAGAGGACACGACTACAAATCAGTGGTATTTACCACACTGTTTCAGAACAGTTTAACCCAAATATCCAGATGTGTGCAGCACATTTTAACGGGAGAGTAACGTTAGACTAAAATACCGGCTGTTCTGACACACGTAAATACATTTCATTACACCAAATACACAAAATAATGTTCTTTTTAGCAGCATCATATGACCCCTTTAAAATTCTAATAAAGACAAGAAAAGTAATCAATAATCAGTATTCTGGCAAAGCGATAATGTCACTTATTGCAAATGTTAATGGTCCTAAAAATATTTTCTCCCTGCAAAATATAATTTGTCTGTGAAAGATGACCTGGACATGTTTGTGTGAGTGTCACCCACAGATCAATAATCAGTAATCTGGCATGTTTGTGCAAACTGGGTATCATATTTTTGCAAATAAAAACCAGAAACCGCTAATTTTACATATAGCACACAGTGAATAGAAACTCCTGTGCATCTGCGCTAGTGTTCTCAGTGCTGTTCAAATAAAAGTCCCACCACTGTCAAAATACAAGTTGCGTTTCTGACATTTATCGGCCAAACAGGAAAACATATCGGTCAATACCAGTAACTAAAAAATGCTAAATATCGGCAAATGCTATATATTGGCCTTGGCGATAAATCGATCAACCGCTAAATATATGCACATACACACTGCAGAATTGCAGAGGACTGTTATACTTCTTGCGTGAGCTTCGCAAAGCACTTAAACTAAAAAAAAAATGTTTAAAATGTAAGTATTCTAATATATAATATTCAAATTTTTCTAATGCCGAATTGTGCTCAGTGAGGAAAAAAAAAACAAAGAAGTGAAGTGACGTGTGGCCAAGTATGGTGACCCATACTCGGAATTAGTGCTCTGCATTTACCCATCCAAAGTGCACACACACAGCAGTGAACACACACAAACCGTGAACACACACCCGGAGCAGTGGGCAGCCATTTATGCTGCGGCGCCCGGGGAGCAGTTGGGGTTCGGTGCCTTGCTCAAGGGCACCTCAGTCGTGGTATTGAAGGTGGGAGAGAGTGCTGTACATTCACTCCCCCCCCCTACAATCCCTGCCGGTACGAGACTCGAACCCACAACCTTTGGGTTATGAGTCCGACTCTCTAACCATTAGGCCACGACTTCCCCAAAGTCGTGTTCCCAAGAAAAACTTCCCCAAGAATGTTGGTAACCAAATGTTGACCGTAGCGGGGTTTTTTTTTTCTTCAAGTCAATGGCTACCATCAACTATTTGGTTACCAGCATTCTTCAAAATATCTTCTTTTGTGGTCAACACAAGAAGTTTTGGATACAGGTACCATACAGGTTTGGAACAACTTGAGGGGAGTAAATGGTGACAAAATTCCTTTTTGGGTGAACTATCCCTTTAAGTCTCACAAAGTAAAGTAATTTGTGTCTTGTGTGAAATTGCTGAAAATGATGTAAAAGTCACCTGTGCTTTTATTTGGGCAAGTATGCTGCTAATGTAGGAAGTAGGCAGTGCGGTAGCTCAGGATTTGGAGCAGAGCTGCTTTATCTGTCGGTTTCATTCCTTTTTTTGTAATGGAAAAAATTTGATGTTGAACTTCAAATATTTTCCAACTGAGGCATCATCTTCCACTGGACATCTGTCCTGGAATTGTTTATGCCTTTTTGAATCACCGTTCATTAACAGTCCATATATGTGTGATCTGAAGATAGCTATGAATGCTGGCTGGAATTGTGTTATTGTCTTTAAACACCTGGAATCAATCTGCGCGTCCTCGGTGGAAAAAAATCTGCGCTATTCTATTTCAGTCGGAACCGATATGTTTATTGCATAACCAGGCTGCTGCAATTAATGAATATGTGGAAGGTGTGCTAATGACTCTCTTTCAGGTCGCCAGACTTCCTCTCAGCTGCGTGCATTAAAAGAGCCGAGCATTATATGAGAAATGCTCTGATGGCTGCAGGTCTGTCCTGAATGAAAGAGTGCATCTGGAGGAAAGTTTATTTGGCTGTCCGCCCCTCCCCTCCTCTCCCGCCCCCATGAGCGCTATTCCATGCCTCGGAACAGGAAGCAGGCCTTAACGAGCGACTAGGAAGAGGAGTGGGTGCGGAGACACTCCTAACAAACGCCCCTGTGTGTGTGCGTGTGTGTGT